GTTTTTCTTGACGCTAAACAGCCTCTGTAACGAGCCCCTTGTTTCTTGGTTTCCCAGATCCTCTGGGTCTACTAATAGGCTACGTTGGTGGGTTAGCAGGTGTTAAGGGAAACCAGCACAAACCAAACTTTTTGCCAAGTGGTGGGCCCAACCAATTACTAGGGTTAGGGGTCTCTTCTTGGTGGAGGAAGTGGGGAGCACTGGCTCCTGATGGTGGAGGAGAAGCCTGCTGATCCAACCCTCTGGCCTACTAGCTACACATACTGTTGTGCTAGCTGCCATTAGGCCATGGGCCCCAGGGGGGAGCAGAGCATGGGTGGGAAGACCAGCCATTTCTCCATCATAGAATAATTGAGTTGAGCCTTGTCCAACTTCTTGGACCAGTAGGCTATGTGGCCTTTAAGGCCAGAAGGCTGATGTGTTTGTAGAATAGCTGCACAGAGCTGTTAATCAGAGGCATCAGTGTAGATATCAAAGGGAAAATTCAAATCTAGGAAGATGTTGATGCCATCATGTGCTAACAATGCCATCATTTTGTTGAATGCTTTGTCGCAGGCTGGTGTCCAAATGTAGGGGCCTGATCCTGTCAAGGCTGTAAGTGGTGAAAGCAAGTGGTGGGACCAACATAGCCACATTGACTTGTAGTAGTTGACTGCACCAAGGAAAGACCCAACTTGTTCTCGATTCTTGGGAACACACATCTTAAGAATCCCATCAACCTTCTTCTTCTACCAAGGCTGAACACCCTCCTGTGTTACTGATTCCTTGACAATTCACTCACACTTGAGTGGATTGCACTTCATGCTATTGGATGCTAGGGGCTCTAAGATTGATCCACTAGCTTCATGTGGTCCTTGAAGGATCCAGAAGTCCAGATCCCCATATCATCAATACAAACTTCCACATCAAGACCACAGAGGATCTTTGTAATGAAGGCCTGAGCATAGCTGGGTGATGATTTCAAACCCATTGACAGTCTCAGGCATTGATAGTTACCATGTTCACCAGTTGTAAGGGTACAGATTTTTTGGCTTTCCTCATCCAGCTCAAAGCAGTAAATCATCATTTATAGATCTACCTTGGTGAGATAGTCGTAGCCTCTTCTTCTGTTCATAATTTCTGGGATTTGAGGCAGCAAGAACTTTGGTCTTCTAACCAGCTTGTTCAGCCCTCTTGGATCCACTAGCCACTGGACCCTGCCATCATTCTTTGGGATGATGAATGCAGGGAATCCCCACTTGGAATTTATGGTTGGTGCTATCACCCTCATCCACCAGGTGTTGGCATTCCTTCTTGAACACCTCCCTGTGCCTGTAGGGAACCGGGTAGGGTTTCTTCCAAATAGGACGTGCACCTGGGATTAGATCTACATAGATCTTTTCATGTGGATATCTTCCAAGCTTGCCATCAAATACTACTTTGTATTTGGTCAGGACCTCTTTAAAAGCCTTGGGCTGAGGCTCATCCATGTGGTCCTGTTGTGCAGCTACTTCCTCTGGGGTGACTTCTTGGTATTTTTCATCAAGAATCTGTGTAATGTTAGCAACACCGGACTGAGGTTCTGTCAGGAAAGTCTTGGCTGTCTCCGCAGATGGTACATTGAACTCTAGGAATCCTCCCTCTAGTTGGTCATTATCTGCAGCCAGCCACAAAGTGTTTGCTATATTCTGGGGATCATTGAAATGATATGGTGATCTCGTCTCAATAGACCTATTGAGCCACCAGATGATGGTTTATTTAGTGAAAAAGAGATTGATTCCTGCCATTCYGAGGAAGTTTCTTCCAGGTTTAATGCCATAGTTGCAAGGGACGTTGAACAGYCTTGCATTTATCCCCCTCATTAGTACTGCTGATGATGAAATCTTCAGATGGCTCTGGAGATTTAGTAGTAGGAGATGGAGGCAGAGTGAGGAAGCATTCAGATGAAACTYCCAACTCTGTTTCCACCAGCATCAGTAATCACTGCTAATTTGCTGGTCCTGTTTGGTGAGCATAAAAGGCTTCAGTCGTGTTGCTGTGTGGTGCTTGTTGGTGACTTGGTAGGCTTGAATGCACAGAGATGTGACTATGTGTTTGCTGTGGACTACCTGGAGCTGTCACATGATAGGCCTGAATTGTGGGGATCACTGGAACAAAGGTTCTCTCTGTGGTGAGCTGATAGTAGGAGCCACCAGATTTAGGCTGATGGTGATGATTACCTCCACAGCCTCTGTGGAAGCCCCCCCTTCCTTGGAAACCTTTTCTGCCATGACCTCTGTCTGCATTTCTTCTGTTTCTCTTGTTATATGGACAGTCTCCCCATGAGTGGGCACTGTTGTGTCTTCTGCAAGGGGCAGCATCTGCCATTCTTCTTTGCTGATCTCTCKTCTCAAAGAAGGACTTGTTCTTATTATTCTTATCATGCTTCCTACCATTCCTTCTGTCATCATTGTTGTTGGATGGGTGTTTCCTTCCAGCATCTTCATCTCCAAAGCCTTTTTGATCATTTGTGTACTTCACTATTTCCGTAATGGTATCCTCTAAGATATTCCTACCATTGAGCTTRTAGCTGGTGTGCCAATGTTGCAGGAAGGACTGGAAGATAATGAGCTTGATCTCTGTCACATCCAGTTCCTTTCTAATACCATGCARTGTGTTAGCTCTTTCACAGCATGAGATGATCATGTCATTGTGTGCTTGACAAGAGATGTACTGGCACTACTTGTGATGTACAAGCTGCTTGTTCTTGGTGCCAAGCAACTGCTAATGGTGGTGGTTTCATACTACKAGTGGTAGTAGTACGGTTCCTCCTCCTCCATGAAACACAAAATATCATAATTAAGTAGGATATCTCTTTTTCAACTATTGCTTCTTGTTRTAAGAATCTGGCAATAAAGTACCCTTTCTCATTTTCTTGCAGCTCAGCAGTTGTGCAAATTATCCATTCCAGCAAGAACATGGTGCTCATCCTCCAATGAATAAACAAAGAGGAGTGTCATCACTTCTAAATGGAGTAATGACAGACCTTCACAGAGTAATAGACATGACTTTACAACTAGAGCAGGATTACTTTCTTGTGAATTTGGTACTAATATCCATTGTCACAGTAAAGGKCATTAGCTTGGAATCCATTAAAYATGGCCTTGAATGTGCTGATCCTCCTTAGCTTTTTATTCATAAAAATTTATGGAGCAACCAAGAAGACCCCATGATGATAATGGATAATGATGGTCAATCCACTTAATAATTACTAACTGCTGAACATTGACATATATCCATTAGTAGATTTATATCCATGTCAATTCTAAAATCTCAACGAACAAGGAGATGCTGATATATAGAGATTTTCCTTCACAAGGTTTTGGTAACAAGAATTGCTACAATGTAATACACAGCTACTGGGAATGCTGGGCTAACAGTATTGAGAAACAATGGATGTGTTTGTTAAGATCACTCCTTTGAAGTTTTCTTTCGTGTGACATTAGATATTTGTGATTCCTCCTTTCATTTAGGATACATTATTTTTTATTTAGGAGATGGTTTGGCGTACAGGACAGCAGCAACAACAAGGAATTAGCATGAGCTGAAGCTATTTTACTATGACATATTTGTCTTCATTTCAAAATCTTAAAAATATTGATACTGTAAAAATTCATATTCAGTCTCCTATCAGCAAATAAATTGCAAACTGGTCTGATACAATAATAGTACTGGAACAAGTTACGTCATTTTTGAAGTGTCATTGTTCGACATAATGGAGCTGGTTCGATTTTCTTGAAGGTTTTTGAATTTGTTTGTTGCAATTAGAATTCAAATTAGCACACAAAATAATCAGCTACACTGCTCGTTTTCSACTAATGAATGTATTGATATTATTGCAATTTAATTTTTATTCGCGGTCTTGATATTTTATCTTCATGTAAACATGTTCTGATTGTTACCCCAAGTCGGATGATCACCTCCCTGGGGGAACTCTCCCTTAGCTAGCAAGACTAGAGCATCGACCACTTCGTAGGCATCTGTCACATACATGGAAGCACTCGAAGGTTTCTTGCCCACTGCACAAGCAAAGCAGTACATTGGATCTGGAACCGGTTTCTCAGCCAGAGAAAGAKTAGGTTTGGGCTTTTCGAGACTCCCGTCGGCGTTGTATACTGGAGGATCCAGGTGAGCAGCCGAAGGATCGCCCATTTCCGCRATGAACGAAAATACACTTGTAAACATCTTTTCGTCTGAAATATCATCACCCAAACAAAGGCAGAAGTCAATCGGTGACTCATCCGACGTCTTGGCAATGTCGCGAAGGACCTTTTTGACAATAAGTCCCTTGTTGAGTTTGCGTGGGACTATTTCTACGATGCCTTTGAGCGTGACAAGACGTACATCGAACGCTTTGAGTTCGGCCTCTAGCTCCAAAACGAGATGAGATGCCTGTAGAGATCCCCACTCTGGGTCACAACTATAGTAAGACCATCCGATGGAAAATGTTGTTAATTTGACAAAGGATCCGTTAGARCGAGCCGTGTATTTGCTCAACACCGGGAGAGCCACACGTTTCACTGCATCCCAATCAACTCCCAAATCGAATGTTTGCCAACGCCTTTCTTCATCTTTATCTTGCATTGGTGGGCTAAATTTTGCACCGTTAGATACAGCCAACCCTAGGTTATGGATATGTCCCAATGCGTTTAGAACGTTCTCGGACGAATCACCCGAATTGACATAAACTGTATTCCGAGGGTCTCTGCATAAAAGTGCCAATGCCTCTAACACCTGCGGAGGAGGCTTATTTCCTGATGTGCCAAGAATTTCCCGCTTTAAGTATTTGCCAGGCGGTTCCTTCAGAACAATGGTRCCATTAAAATCCAGAATAATTACTCGCCTCTTCGAAACATCGTATGCCTGTTTCAATACTTTCGGCTTCATGTGGGTAAAAGACTTGTGAGATTCTTTCAACAAAAAGGCAGCCGTTCCTTGAACTTCCTCTCGACGAATTTTGGACGCGGTTCGTCTATGCCTTGGAGTTCTTGATCCACTTGACCGAGGTGGCGTGCTCATTCCCGGACGTGGGGAACCATCGGTGCTCTTCTTGTTGGTCGAGGTGGAAGCCATGTAAGCATCATTCATGTCTCGCAACACATTTTTGACCCATCGATCGCTTGGACTGTTTGAAACAAAGTCTAAATCTCGATACCGACGACCTTCCTTTTCTTCTGAATCCATACTCAACGCCTTATCCATTATGGTAACAGTCATTTGAATGTCAAAGGGGTTGACGCGAAGTGCTCCGTTCAAAATACTGCAAACCGCACTGAATTCCGAAGCAATGACAACACCGGGTGATGTGTCGCGCTTGCTGTAAATATATTCCAGTGGCCAGTGATTCAAACCYTCTCGAATAGGTGTCAATACCAACACATCCGAAGCCTTCCACAATGCCAGCCGTTGAGCCATGGGGAGCGTAGAACCAGAAATCTCCTTGTAGTCAATGACCGCCGTCCCGAATTTCTCTTGAATCCGTTGGACAATCTGTCGGAGTTCGCGAATAGTKATTTGTTCRTCTCGTTTCCTGGATCCCGGCAAAAGAATTCTCAAAACCATAACGACCTTTGGTTGCCAGGTTGGATAATCTTGCAAGAGGCGCTCGTAGGCCAAAAGTTTAAGACTTGTCCCGCTTAGACGTTGCCCGACCTCAACACCACAAACAATGCTACGATCTCCATGGGTCTGTCGCAGGAGATTGCATTCCGTTTCCACKACAGGCAATTTYAGCGCCGCATCGATCATGTGTGGCTCAATGCTTACATTCGACATACTGACTAGGATGGTTCGTCCCATGTAGTTGACTCCGATCAAACCTCCAACTAGATTTTCGTAGTTYAAGCCCATGATTCGCTTGTTGGCATTCAAAAAATGCCTAGCATGGTCAAAAGCGTGAAATCCAACAACATCGGCATGCAACATACCTTGCAAGATTTCTTCTCCGCATTCCAGCTCGCGAAAGATTTGAGAGGTGGGAAACGGAATGTGTAAAAAGAAGACTTTCCGGCAGTATTTGGTTACTCTATTGTTTTCGCACAAGTATTTTGGCAACAAGGCGAGGTGGTAATCATGAATCCAAAGGTAATTCCTGTCGATCATRTGACCTGGGTCTTGTCCGACGATTTCTTCTACAACAGTGGCAAATTCCTTGTTAACCTTCTGAAATGCCCTCCACCAATCGTCCAATCGACTTTGATCCCAATCAGACGCAGAAACGGTGTTCTCATTCGCGTTAGTAGCATTGTCTTTTCCATTGCTATTGTTGCCATCGGTCCCACTTATGCTCAAATCCAGCAGGTCTATGTTGTGAAAGGCCGGCCAAAGAACCTGTTTGCAAAAGCCGTAATAGTGTTCCTGTCGCGTGGTGGGATCGAGAAAGATGGGTGTGCATTCCATTTTGGCAAGTACCTGCCGGATGGCCTGCTTGTCGTCCTCATTCTCAATSGGCGGCTGAGGCGTGACGGTTCCAATCCAGTGTGCCCGGTAATGAGCAACGATTTTGCTCCCCTCCTTGGAGGCCAAAAGTGACTCGCTCCAGCTTGCTTGCCACTCACCGTCGACCTTAACAACGACCACCGGCAAATGAAAGCAAATGAAAAGGATCTTKGGGGGGAGATTCGCTAAGACGTTGGAGGTGTTGAGCGATGCGCTGCTGCTGGCGGCCGAGACAACAATGTTGGTCATGTCCACGTCCCCCGTGTTGTCCACTACGACAGGTGCATCATCAATGATCGATATGTTCCCGTCCGACATAGACGACTGTGATCGAAAATAATCCTTTCGGCGCTCTTCGACTCGTTTGGTGGCGGAGGCTGCAGCTTCCGAACGCTGCATGACTTCCCGAATGACATATGCTTTGAAGGTAGTATCGTCGGGGCGATTCCAGGTATCGATCCGATCATCTGGTTGAGGATTCATCACCTCTGCTGTCTCGACATTGATATCAAGGGTTCGGTAGGGCATTTGTGCAAGTCGCAAGAATTGGTTCTGCGGCGACGAGGGATCGTTTCCAATCACGGAAGTCACACCCGTGTTAATAGATTGCTGGCTCGCCGAAGCGTGTAGGCCGGTGATGCTTCCGGTGGATGTCATCTTAATGCTGCCAGTAGCGATATTAAGTCGCTCTAGATCTGGAAAATCGGGCTCTTCCCACATCATCACGTTGACGGTACCGTCGTGTCCATCGCTGGTCGAGATGTCCATYGTCTGCACCTCCCCGTCTCCCAAGATGTCCATTTCGGTKGCGTGCGAGGCTCCCGGCGTCACCACCAAATAGCGGTAATAATGGCTCTTTTTTTCGGTAGTAGTCTCGTTCAAAACAATKACAACGGGCTGCTTAGTCTTCCATACGGGGTAGGTATCAGGAGTTGTTACCATCTCAACGCTGCTCGCATACAAATTGGTAGGGGTGTTGTTGAACCAATACTCCAGAGAATCTTCCGTATCATTTCCAAAGGCGGGAAAGCCCGCAGTCGCCGCCGTTTCTTGGGCTATAGCATGTGCGTTCATGGGGTCGGAAGGAGACGTTAGAGAGGTTGGGGCCCAGAGACTCGAGCCCGTTACCCTCAACGAAGACCCCATTGGAAGCTCCGCTCGGCAGGTAAAGTGGATGCGGACCACCCGGCCAGCGGGCACCAGGCTACTGACCGACTTGGAGTTGTTGCTACCGGTGACGTCCATTTTTGAAATGGGTCGGATACTCAGTATGCGCCGCTTCTCAAGTGTAACAGATTCGATTGTTGCGTTGCGTTGCGTTGTGTTGTAGAAGTATTTCGTGTCTTGGTGTGTTGTGATTTGCTTTAGACACCGCAACAATCACTCCACTCGGCCTGTCTCTAGTATATCTCCCACGGCAGCCAACAAGCTGATCTCTGTTGTTATTTGCTACTGTTGTTGTTGTTGTTGTTGTTGTTGTTGTTGTTGTTGTTGTTGTTGTTGTTGTTAGAACTACGGATGTGCTGATTGAAATGAAGTAATCCATCACATGGGTACAATCTGTACGGTTCAGTTTGCGGCCGGTAATGTTGTGAAATTGAATGTGGTGGATAGGTGTCAGGTGTCACTTTGAGGTAACAACTAGTACGATGGATTCCGTAGTACTGTAGGAAATACGTCGTTCGCTGCCGAAAGGAGAGAAAAATCAATTTTTTATGGATCATCGTTCTTCGTGATGTTCTTCACCATTCTTTCTCTCCATCACATCATTCACCATTCGCGCAGCAAAGAAAAGGAGATGAAGGATGAGGTGAAATGAATTTGTTGAAACTACGGTGGCTAATCTGACGCACGGATCTTCGACCGTCACAGTCAAAGGTCATCCATGCTGCGTATGTAAAATTCATATGATACATACTGCTTGTATCGGTACTACGAAAGTACGGTAGCGTACGTACCAGTTACTACGCGTTGCATAACAATTGAAATTACGTTACTGTAATGGAGGCATTGGGAACATTAATTTAACATTCCGGCTGCGTGGAAATGAGTACYGTGTTTTTTGCTTCAATTTAACGTCCTGAATGCTTTGCTTAACAGTCTGAATATTAGCAGGGGAGGTGTCCTCTTCTTCCTCTTTTTAAGATCCCTTCTTCCTTTTTTAGGCAGGTGCAAGACTGAATGAAAAATGTGGATAATACTAGGATCTATGTAAGCCTACTACGTGAAAAAATTAACATTTAGTACATTAAAATAACATTCCGTACGTTAAATCAAACATTCGCAATGTAAAATAACGTTCCCAATGCCTCCATCAACGTAGTTTCAATTGTTATGCAATGCGTAGTAATGGGCAATAAAATTACAGCTAAAATCAACGCACGATTTCCAATTTCCGGCCACCCACGAATAGTCCAAAATTGGCAGGGGCATTGCATCGCTAGCCATAAAATAACAATTGAAATTACGTTAATTGAGGCATTGGGAACATTAATTTAGCATTCTGAATGTTATCGCTGTTGGCCTACGTTGATCCTAGTGTTCCAATAATGAATGTGGTAGGGCACTACATTCCCAAAACCCCCCCAAAACAATTATTTGGGTCTTGCACATACCTTGAAAACAGGGAAGAAGGACCACATCCTTTCCTGCTAACATTTGGACTGCTAAGCAGAGCATTCAGGACATGATTACTAAATTTAAGCAAAAGCCGCAGCTCATTTCTACACAGTCTATGCTGCYAACATTCAGAATTTTATTTTAATGTTCCCAGTGCCTGAATTAATGTACTAATTTCAATTGTTATTTTACTAAGTACGCTACTGGACCCACCAATACTCTGCTGTCCATAGGATATCAGATTGTGGGTATGATTCATATATACAACACATACATATGACACGTATCTATGATTCATACACACCATATATATATATCACTCGATCCGATAGATCCATATGATCGACATGACTTAGTTCATTCACTTGCGTGAGTGACTTGACTCATTCGATTCACACATTACTCGATCTTCATTCTGATTGGCCTTAGATTTCATAGTTCATTGATCCTCAATAAGAGGATTGACTCACTTTTATTCTAGCGCACAATTTACATCACTATTAGATAGTCACTCCCACAGGTTATGATACCCTTGCAATAAAAATTATCACCACCATGGTGATCTTTTTTTCAGGCGTGCTCTCTCCTCATCTCAYGACTCTACCAAACAACTTGTTCACACACCTTTGAATAACAGCAATCGCACATGCAACGACAACGCTAAACATACATCATAACTGTCAACATACATTGCATTTTTACAAACAAAACATTTGTTTCAATACACCCACCATTGTTGATGTTCAATACTCACTGTTTCRAAATCAAAATATTCAAACAAGAAAACATTTTAATTTCAGGAACAAATTTGGCGTCAACAATCACACTTTAATTTTTAACTCCCGTTCGCGCGTTAAATATAATTCCCACACACTCGCAACTGCGCGTGCCACTCCCACATTTCAATCCCATGCCCGCGACTGTCTCACTTCATGAGACCACACCACGTTGCCGTAAAACTTCCCTCCAGTAACGACCTTYGAAAGCTTCTCATGAAAACCGATACTTTTACAGCATATCCCTTTACAACACCTCACCATAAAAAATCCTTTGATCCAAATCAAATATTTTTTATTCTCAAACCTCTTCCCAACTAAGACCCTCAAACTTCAAGCCAACCTTCCAACATGCCAAGCACCAGAAGCGGATCCAATCCCCCCAACCCCCCCCCCAATTGTCCTTTCCATCTGAAAGTTGAATACATCAACATTATCTTCCTTGACCATTTTGTTCACCCGACACTCACTGATGAAATGAACAACACATACTGCATGYCAATGAACTTCAAACAATTCCTCAACGATGCTAAGGACGCATTCAAAGACCAGGCTCTTCTTATCCCAAACATCRAGGATCTTCTGAAGGATCACATCAAAAWATGTGCAGTAAACACCCTGGAMGTGACTTGCATCAACGGCATCATCGACAACAAAACATGCCTTATGGTGAACRTCACCAAAGACTCTCRTTTGAAACTTGGTAATAATATCCAACACCTTACCCGCGCATTAAACTATGTCCCCAAATCTAACACCAAAAMCACTCTTATTCTCGGCGTCAATTGGTCTCCAGTCTATATTGACGATTGTGAACTGGTAAAAGATGTTTATGACTTCAAGATCTTTGCTGAAACTCCTTTCCCACCMCCAGTCAGACCTGCAACTAACAACCCCACCGGTGGTAAAACTGCAACCCAGCTGCTGCCCATTGACCCAAGCATCCTCCGTCTCTTCAATGAGAACAACAACATGATACGTCAACAGGCAAYGATGATCCAACACCTTGCTCGAAAGGCAAAGACCTACAGTTTGATCATCACTCCCTTCATTCCCTTGAACTACCCTGCCCAAATTCAAAATCAATACAAGCTCAACRCGATGCAATACACGTACCATACTTCTGATACACTGACTACTACTGTMCTTGATACATCAGCGCAACCACATGCACTTTGACAATACCATAGGGATCCACAAAATCCATCAACCGGTTTTGTCACTYGAGATGGTTCATACTTTGTTCTGGTTGACCTTGGACCCCAAAGTGAAAAGAATTTTTGTACTGCCGTCAACAAAATTGCAGGTGACACACCATATGAGGTCTACAACTGGTATACATGCTTCACTGCCCACTGTTCCCATTTTGGTAAATACTGCCACCCTTACCTGTGCTTCTGTTGTAACTGTAATCATCCACATGGCTTCTTTACTCTTGGTATGGATCAACATGAYGACCTCCACCCAACCTTCGAAACAAAAATATCAAATGATTCYCATATCATCTGGGATACCATCCATACTGTCTTCACCAAAGACAAATTCCATCRTATWATTGAACTTCATGATGGCCATGGATACAAAGCCCTAAAAGCTATCATCTGTGGCACACACACCCCTTCCTAATTGAATCTCMAGCTATGTTAGTCACAACTYGTCCTACCCAAGGCACACTTTTCACTAATGGAATATTGGAAGAAATACAACAATTACATCATGCTTTGTGCACTTATTGAAGATAACAAGCAAACTGTACATAACAGAAATGAACGCAAACACTTCGTAAATGGATGTACCCATTCATCTTTCCTACAAACGGAAATACGCAGAGAACAAGATTTCAACCATCTCAAACACAGGTTCAAACCTTCAAACTTTGTTGGTACACTTCAGCAGTATCTAAACTATCCRAATAGCCCTACACAAATACAGGTCCAACAAACCCCACCTCAGAAATACAATTCATACATTCTGACATACAAACSTTCCGATCTTACCCCAAAACCAGTCTCCGTCAACCAGAYTCAGATTGAAGAGATTGATCCAGATTGTCTTGACTTAGCCTACTCAATGTCAATAAATCAAATCAAAGCCAACCCAGCATCGTTCAATTGACAATGTCTCGTATGTACTATGATGACTGAACAGTCCTCCCAACACACCTTTGAGCATTGCCCTATTCTTCAACAATCAAACCTACTCTGCCAGAACTTCATCAACTTCTGCCAAATGTACAAATGTGCTCACCACTGTTAATCTTCTCCATGCGGAACCACCTATAGAAGACACGCAAATGATCATTGACAAATTGACTCCATCTGATACTTCTCAACATCATGGAGAAARCAAAACGGATTTTGTCTAGGGCRGACAATAAAATTGGAACCTCCGGGCCCTATACCTTCTCCGTCATCACCAGTCTCAATCCTCCATATGCTTAATGCTCTACACATTATGCATATGGACTTYATTCCATCGTATGACACAACATCTGATATGTCATCAACCTCACAACCAACTGTCATTACAATACCTATGTATCCACGCAACAACTTTACACCCACAATCGAACATGGTCCTGATACACCTTACAAACCTTCATCAAATTTCAAAATAAAAACCATTGCTATTGACTCCTCGCAAAACCCTCTCGAAGACATCCCACCACCACCRAAAATATATACCACCAATATATCAACAACAGTTTGAGCACAAATTGACACAGGCGCTGATATCACTTGCACCAACCTAATCRATATCATCCATAATTACAAACCATACTCAAAGGATTTCCCATGACAGCTCAAACTTGTTGGTGCCCTCAATTCTACAAATGGTATACCCTCACAGTGAAGGATATATTCATGTCCCAGCTGTCAACAACAAAGCTTATGTTTGTATCTGCTGTATATATTCCCCAACCTTGTCGTCCACACTGATATCAGAAGATGACATAATACGGTCCAATCCTCGATTAAAACTTTGGGACTATACCATACCCCTTTACAAATTCATTGACTTGAATACAATCACAATTCTTTGCAAACACCTCAAAGACGAAAGCAAAACCATCACAATYCATGGCGYTATTTCTTTTGGGAAATCATACACACAACCATTGATACTCCCTGATCTCTTACCACATCATCCTCAAGCAACTAAATATAACTCACTCAAG